ATGGATAGATCATCCAGACAGAAAGTCAACAAGGAAATAGTGGATTTAAATGAAAACCTTGACCAGATGGACTTTATAGATATATAAACACTCCATCCCAAAACAGCAGAATACACATTCTTCTCAAGTGCACATGGGACATTCTCAAGGATAGACCATACATTGGGAAACAAGGCAAGCCTCAATAAATTTAAGAAGATTGAATCCTATCAAGCATCTTTTTCAACCACAACGCTATGAAACTAGAAATCAACAACAAGAAAAAAGCTGGCAAAGTGACAAAGATGTGGAGACTAAACAACATGCTACTGAACAACAAACGGATCATTGAAGAAATTAAAGGAGAAATCAAAAAGTATCTGGAGACAAATGAAAATGAAAACACACAATACCAACTCATATGAGATAAGGCAAAAGTAGTCAAGAGGGAAATTCATAGCAATACAGGCCCACCTCAACAAACATGAAAAATCTCAAATAAGCAATCTTGAACTACACCTACAAGAATTAGAAAAAGAAGAACAAACAAAGCCCAAAGTCAGCAGAAGGAGAGAAACAATATAAATTAGAGCATAAATAAATAAAATTAAAACAAAAAAGACAGTAGAAAGGATCAATGAAACAGCTGGTTCTTAGAAATGATAAACAAAACTGACAAACCCTTAGTAAGACTCACTAAGAAAAAAAGAGACAAGGCTCAAATAAATAAAACTAGAAATGAAACAGGAGAAATTACAATGGATACCACAGAAACACAAAGGACTTAAGAGAATACCACAAAAAACTATATGCCAACAAATTGGACAATCTAGAAGAAATGCATAAGTTATTGGACTCATACAATGTCCCAAAACTAAATCAAGAAGAAATAGAGAATCTGAACAGAACAATTGCAATAAAGAGACTGAAAAAGCAATCAAAAACCTCCCAAAAAACAAAAGTCCAGGGGCTGGCTCCGTGGCCGAGTGGTTAAGTTCGCGCGCTCTGCTGTGGCAGCCCAGGGTTCGGATCCTGGGCGAGGACACGGCACCACTAGTCAGGCCACGTTGAGGCAGCGTCCCACATCCCACAACTAGAATGACGTGCAACTAAGATATACAACTGTGTGTGGCGTGCGGGGGGGGGGGGGGGGGGGTTGGGGAGATAAAGCAGAGGAAAAAAAAAAAAGATTGGCAACAGTTGTTAGCCCAGGTGCCAATCTTTGGGGAAAAAAAAAAGTCCAGGACCAGATGGCTTCTCCGGAGAATTCTACCAAACATTCAAAGAAAATTTAATACCTATCCATCTTAAAATATTCCAAAAAATTGAGGAAGTTGGGACACTTCCTAAGACATTCTACAAGGCCAACATCACCTTGGTCTCAAAGGCAGACAAGGACAACACAAAGAAGGAAAATTACAGGCCAGCATCACTGATGAACATAGATGCAAAAATCCTCAATAAAATATTGGCAAACCGAGTACAGCAATACATTAAAAAGATCATACACCATGATCAAGTAGGATTCATACCAGAGACACAGGGATAGCTCAACATCCGCAAATCAATGTGATACACTACACTAACAAAATGAGGAATAAAAACCACATGATCATCTCAATAGATGCAGAGAAAGCATCTGACAAGACACAACATCCATTTATGATAAAAACTCTCAATAAAATGGGTACAGAAGGAAGGTATCTCAACATAATAAAGGCCATATATGACAAACCCACAGCCATCATCATTCTGAATGGGGAAAAACTGAAAGCCACCCCTCTGAGAGCAGGAACAAGACAAGGGCACCCTCTCTCACCATTCCTATTCAACATAGTACTGGAGGTTGTGGCCATAGCAATTAGGCAAGAAAGGAAAGGAAAAGAAAGTAAAGGAAATTCAAACAGGAAATCAAGAAGTGAAACTCTCGTTGTTTGCTGACAACATGATTTTGTGTAAAGAAAACCCTAAAGAATCCATCAGAAAACTATTAGAAATAATCAACTACAGCAAAGTTGCAGGATACAAAATCAACTTACAAAAAACAGTTGCATTTCTATACTCTAATAATGAACTAACAGAAAGAGAACTCAAGAACACAATCCCATTCACAATCACAACAAAAAGAATAAAATATCTAGGAATAAATTTAACCAAGGAAGCGAAAGACCTATACAATGAAAATTATAAGACACTGCTGAAAGAGATCGATAATGACAAAGAAATGGAAAGATATTCCATGCACATGAATTGGAAGAACAAACATAATTAAAATGTCCATACTACTTACAGCAATCTACAGAGTCAATGCAATCTCAATCAGAATCCCAATGACATTCTTCACGGAAATAGAACAAAGAATCCTAAAATTTATATGAGGCAACAAAAGACCCCAAAGGGCTAAAGCAATCCTGAGGAAAATGAGCAAAGCCAGAGGCATCATAATCCCTGACTCCAAATAAAATAGACTACAAAGCTATAGTAATCAAAACAGCATGGTACTAGTACAAAAACAGACACACAGATCAGTGGAACAGAATTGAAAGCCCAGAAATAAAACTGCACATCTATGGACAGCTAATCTTCCATAAAGGTGCTGAGAACATACAATGGAGAAAGGAAAGTCTCTTCAATAAATGGTGCTGGGAAAACTGGACAGCCACATGCAAAAGAATGAAAGTAGGCCATTATCTTTTGCCATACACCAAAATTAAATGGATCAAAGACTTGAAGGTAAGACTAGAAACCATAAAACTCCTAGAAGAAAATATAGGTAGTATACTCTTTGACATTGGTCTTAAAAGGGTCTTTTTGAATACCACATCTATTCGGACAAGAAAAAATAAACAAGTGGGACTTCACCAGACTAGAGCTTCTGCAAGGCAAAGGAAACCAGGATCAAAATGAAAAGATAGCCCACCAACTGGGAGAAAATATTTGCAAATCATATATCCGACAATGGGTTAATCTCCATAATATATAAAGAACTCACACAACTGAACAACAACAAAAAACAACCCGATCAAAAAATAGGCAGAGGATGTGAACAGACATTTTTCCAATGAAGATATACAGATGGCCAATAGGTACATGAAAAGATGTTCAACATCACTAAGCAGGGAAATCCAAATCAAAACTACACTAAGATATCACCTTACACCCATTAGAATGGCTATAATCACCAAGACACAAAACAAAAAATATTAGAGAGGAAGTAGAAAAAAGGGAACCCTCATACATTGCTGGTGGGAATGCAAACTGGTGCAGCCACTATGGAAAACAGTATGGAGATTTCTCAAAAAATTAAAAATAGAAATACCATATGACCCAGCTATCCCACTACTGGATCTTTATCCAAAGAACTTGAAATCAACAATTCAAAGACATCTATGCACCCCTATGTTCACTGCAGCATTATTCATAACAGCCAAGAAGTGGAAGCACCCCAGGTGCCCATCGACTGATGATTTGATAAAGAAGATGTAGTATGTATACACACACGCACACACGCACACAATGGAATAACACTCAGCCATAAAAAAAGACAAAATTGTCCCACTTCCAACAACACGGATGGACCTTGAGGTCAAGCCAAATAAGCCAGACAGAGAAAGACAAACACTGCCTGATTTCACCCATATGTTGAAGACAATCACATGGACAAAGAGAACAGTTTAGTGGTTACCAGGGGAAAGGGGGTTGCGGGGTGGGCACAAGGGTGAAGGGACGCATTCATATGGAGACTGACAAATAATAACGTACAACCAAACTTTCACAATGTTATAAACTATTATGACCTCAATAAAAAAAATTTTAACTATTTTTGAAAGTTTCTAGGAAAGTCCAAAAGCAACTAGCTACATAAGCCAAAGGGAAGATTCAAAAGAAGTTCAAGATAGAACTTCTTTTATCTAGTAGTTAAAGCAGTTTTGGTTCCCACTTGTAAAATCAGGTGACAGAAGGAAGCCATCAGCTTGGGAAACATTTTAAATCTTAGAGCAAGTAGCTACAAGAGGATTTTCAATTACATTGAGATACTTGAGGTATATAGATATTGATATAAATAACAACGGTTCATTTCTTCAATTGAAGAGTTCACTGCAGAAGACACAAACCATTTTGAATACATAAACGTGGTATCAAATTGGTGGAGCTTAGTTCTTTCTTAAGTACTGAATTTCCAAAGATGACAACCCACTATCTAAAATAAGAGGAAAATAACGAAGAAGCTGTTTGTTTTGCACAAAAACTTAAATGTCCAAATAAAGACAAAGTGGCTAAAAGTGGAGACCATCAGAGCAACATAAACACAGAACAAGGTACAAAGTGTGGAAAAGGAAGTGGTTTCATCTGGAAAGAAAACATTCAAGAATATATACGTATATTCATTCATTCATTTATATGTGCATGGAGTCAAAGAAGGAATTATTTCTCTAAACCCAGAACTGAGGCGGGAGAAAAAACATTCGGGGCATCTGAACAAGCAAATGAATGAAACATAAATAGTGCATACATACATTCTTGAAAACAAGAAAACTGGTCATTAGAAGAAAAAAATCTTTCCTTAGAAACGCTGAAGCCAGAGGGGAGTGAAATTACACGTGAGAAAAGCAGAGACACTAATAGAAAAAAACCAGCAGTTCTGAGATACAACTGGAGAAACAGCATCATACAAAATGAGAAAAAAGAGAGGGAAACATGTTTTAAAAGACTGAGTGCACAAAGGTCTGCAAAAGACTGCACCGCAATCTTCGGGTATCTCAGGGGACAGACTCCCGGGGGCTTTCTCTATTTACTTCGCATATATTTTAACCCAGATAATTATAATACCACTTCACTGAAAAGTTTTTGAAGAAAAATGACAACACAGAGTGTTAAGTGCAAAGACAGCCACTGAGTAGGCGACAGCGTCGAGGAAGGGAACCCACGTGGGGAGGGCGGGTTGTGGTCTTCCTGGAGGAGGTGACAAGACTGAATATAAAGGAGAAATAGGGCATTGCAATAATGACCGTGTTTCTTACCTCATTGATTTACGGTAAGGCAAGCCCGAGTGCCTACACGCTGCCCTCTGACGTGTCATTACATCCCCAACCTGGCCCAACCGACCTCCTCCAGTTCCAGCCCCTCAGTGGCCCTTGTCCAGCTGCCCTGAATCCAAGTTCCCTGGGTAGGCAGCTTGGTTCGGTCTCCCCCAACCACTCTGTGGGCTTCTGGGCGAAGAAACTTCAGCTCCGCCTCTCTGGCCCCAGCACGCAGAACTGCGCCTGGCCCACAGGAGCTCAATAAATATTGGCAGGATTTTACTGAATTAAAGGAAAGGAGGCATTTCAGTCCATAACCACGGGTTAATTAGCCTTTGGAGCCCTAGAAGGAAGACACAGGCATCCGGAGTCCACCCCTGAGGTTTAAAAAGCGACACGCCTGGCAACTCCGAGTGCTGTGCGCTGAGTCCACAGGAGGCTGCAGGGCCGCAGGGCTGAAAGTGGGCCCCCTAGTCTTCCTCCGCGGGCCCCCCGAGCCCAGGGCGCGGGTGGAGGAGAGGGGCGGCCCGAGCTCTCGGACTACTCACGCCCCGGCAGGGCCCGGCCGGGACGGCGCCCACCTGGCCGGACACGCTCGGACCTGCGGCTCCGGGACTGGGGAGGTAGAAACACTCCCGACGCGCCGAGCATCACGAGGCCGCCTCCCAGCTGGCGTCCGTGAACCTCTGCCAGCTGAGCCCCTGCACTCCTCCTCCTCCAGGCCGCCCGCCCACAGGCGGCTTCAGGCTCCAGAACCCTCCGTCCCCGCCCCCCACAGGGCACAGGCGCGTCTCTCCGGGCAGTAAACTCTCCCCCGTGGGGGCTAAGGGCCAGGTGGTGCCCGGGGAATTACTGGGGGCCGGCCGCGCGCGCCCCAGCCTCCCCCAGACCGTCTGCCACTCAAAAACCTGCCTGCCACTCCCCGCCCAACCCCTTTGCCGTTCCAGACTCCCGGGAGCGGAAGGCAGGGGGCACCCAGCCCCCCCGGCCCCGTAGGTGGATTCACCTTCAAAGCAGGTGCCAGGCAGTAAGAGAGCATTAAAGGAAGCGCAGAGGTCAGACATTAACAGAAATGCAAAACATGACGTCGCTACAAAAAGCCATTTTCCTCGGGACATCCAGCCCAGAAACTGTGAGTCAAACGAGGTTAACCAAAAACGAAAACTTCGGTATGACAAACACATTCCAAATTTCCTTCCAAACCTCAGGCGCTTTTTTTTTTTTTTTTTTTTTTTGGAGTTGAGCCAAGTTCTTTGCTCCTGGCGTAACTTTTTGGTAAGATTATTTAGGGGGAAAATACCGAACATTCTGTTCCTCTTATCTGAAGTTTCTTATCTAAAGCAGGTCAAGGCCGCCAGAGCCCAGTCTTGGTTTTAGACCTGGGTTTTTCCGTGTCGGAGACATTTGACGTGCGCTCTCCCTGCTGGCACCACCTCGGGTACACAAACTGCTAATGTCAACAAGCGACACTATTCGAGGGCGCGCTGGCGTCGCTGCTGTTCTCTGGAACCAACGCTCGTTATTGGCCTCCTTTCAAAGGCCTTTGTTCTACCGCAGCGCGCTGTAAATATTTAACGGAACACGCCCTTCCGCCCAAATCCGGAACCCACCAAGCCTGCAGATCCTGAAAGCAGGCCTTTCCCCATTCTTTGGAAGCATGGAGAAGGGAAGCGGAAACAGAGTTTAAGCTTTTACGAAACCCTCAATCATTCCGAAGTGTGCCAAGGCAAGCCTTCCTTGCAATCTGCCCAGCTACGTATGACGTGCTTTGAGCAATAACCACCGCGACCTGTCCCCTCGCCAGGCGGTGGCGAGAGTCCCGGGGCCCGCCAGCTGCGCCGGGCTCCACGCCCCACTGCACAGGGCCTCTTGCTCATCAACTTTTCGAGAGGGGAACTGCCCGATCTTGTCAACAGCGCGTCCCAGGAGCTGAGCAACTCTCAAGATGACCTCAAGCGAGGCGGACGGGACGCTGGGGACGTGCCCCCGAAGCTCGAGGCCTGCTTTCCGCCTCTGCGGCTGCACTGTCGGCCAAGGGCGGTTGGGTCGGGTTCGACCCGGGCGGTCCCCGGGCAGCCGGGCGGGCAGAGCGGGGGCGCGGGGAAACCCGAGCTGGGGCTCTCCACGGCCGCGGCCCCGCCGCCGCCGCCGCCCCCGCCCCCGCCCGGCGGGCTCCGGGGGGCGGGGGCGCCCCGGAGGGTGGGGTGAGGGGAGTGGGGGGCTGCGCGCGCAGCCGGCGGCCGCGCGGACGCCGAGCCTGGCACGGGGGGCGGGCGCAGCGGGCCGAGCGCGCCAGTCACCGCTCTGCCCGCGGCGGGGCCTCCAGCTCGTCCCCGGCGTCGCCCCGCGAGCGCGGGCAAGACGGCGCCGAGAAATCGAAAGCTGGCAGCGGACGTGGCGCTGCCGGCCGGCCCGCCTGCCCTCCGGCGGCCCGCTCGCCCTCTCGACCCTCTCTTACCTGTGTGCCTGCAACAGCTGAGTGGCCCGACGTCCCCGTGTGAGGCCCAGAGACCCCCTCCCCGGCCCCCGGCGAGCGCCCAGCTTCGGGACTCCTGGCACCGAAAGGCAGCTGTTTCCTAAGTGGCCGGATGCGCTCCACCCAGGGGGCGGGGACAGCAGCCGACCTCTGGAGCGCGCTGCCGGTGTTCGTTGCCCACGCACGGGAAGGATACCCAATGCAAGGGGGAATGCGCTTTATGACAATCTCCTGACTCCTAGTAACTAGTTTCTTGGGATTGTTTAAAATTCCTTAACTTTTCTTGAAATAAACTTAAACTCACGGGAGAGCTGTCGGCACAGTACCAAGGGAGACCTGACAGCAAGAGCAGCTCGGCTGACCCACGCCCTAGGGAAACTGATGACAATTATTTCAAAACAAGCAAACAACAAATAACCATTTAAAGCCTTGGAAATAGTCTTAAAAGAAGACGGCAAATGAAGAAACATCTATTCAAGAAAATCGGCCAAAATTCGGTAAGAAACGCAAGAGTCTGATATTTCAACCAAGACGTCTTCCTCCTTTCACCCTCCCGACTCAGCAAGGCGAGACCCTCCTCCGGGACTACCCTATCGGAAGCTAGGAGACCGAGGACCGGGCCTCGTCCTCCCACGGCTCCCAGTGGGAGGGGCAGGAAGTCAGCAGTTTTCACCCTGCCCCCGGCCAGCTGACACTGAGGCTAATGCTAGGTGAGTGTGGTTCCCTTCCATCCAGCCCCATTTGTGGAAGAGAGGCTTTACCCAGGGCTGGAGAGCTGAGAATCCGGGGGTCCTGATCACCCTTACCCCAGGTCCTGAAGCGCTGGTTCAAGCCAGAAGAGACAAGCTGAGAGGACGTCAGGCAGGGATGTGACTCAGAAGCTTGTTCCACCACCTGCTGGTAAAGCCTAGCCCAGTGTTTGTGCCTCAGGGGAGAGGCAGTCCATGAAACAGATAGTTCATAATCTCTTCCCAAAGGGACTGGCTTCATTTGAACAGAACTTGGAGAAATTCAAGGCAAAGGGTGCGCTCAAAAACCCGGAGGTGGTAGTCATAGGCAATTAGGAGGAGATGACAGGTGGGCTGAATTGTGGACTGGCTAGTTTGCAGGAGAGAGCCAGAGATGAAGACAGCTGGGGGATGCCTTCCTGGGATAAGAACAAATCCTAAACAGTGCCCTCGTAAACTGTTGCTTCAGAGGGGTCAGAATTTGATTGGATTCATTTAGTGAGCATTTTATGCCCCAGGACATTGTTGAATATAATAGAGCAATCCACCAGCAAACTTCTAGAGTTTAACAGCTGGGTGTGGCCAGGGAATGAGAGAAAGAGAGCCCTACCCAAATTACTGGAGAGCCAGAGTAACCACGTCAGAAATTTAAGGAGTTGGGGGGAGGATACCCTTCTCTACAGTAATCTAGCAGCCACTAGACAAATAAACAAGTGGATAACAACAACAAAGGTGGGACGGGGGAGGGGGAGCAGAGGGAAGGAAACAAGTAACCAGAGTTGCTACAATATATTGTATAAAATGTCCACTTTCCAACAAAAAATTACAATGCATGCAAGGAAAGTGTGACCCCATGCACTGGAAAAATAGCAGGCAACAAAAACTGCCTGTGAGAGCAACCAGATGTCATATTTATCAGAAAAAGAATTTAAGGGAGCTTTATAAACATGTTCACAGAACTGAAGAAAAGCATGATTAGTGAAGTAAAGGAAGAAATGATAAGTCATGTCAAATAGAGAATATCAATAGATGTTCAGCTCTTAGAGCAGAGATGTGAGTCAGAAATTATAAAAATGAACCAAATAGGAATTCTGGAGTTGAAAAATACCATAACTGAAATAACTTTATTAGGGGCTCAAAGGTAGACTTGAACTGGCAGAAAAAAGAATTAGCTAACTTGAAGATAGATAGAGATTATGCAAGCCGAAGAACAGAAAAATTGAGAGTCGCAGAGAAATGTGAGACGCCAGTCAGCACACCAACAGGTACATACTGAGAGTACCAGAAGGAGTGGAGAGTGAAAAAAGGAGCAGAAAATACATTCAAAGAAATAATGGCTAAAAACTTCCCGAATTTGTTGAAAAACTATAACCTACACATCCAGGAAGCTCAACAAATTCCAAATAAGATAAATGCAAAGAGATATACAAACAAACACGTTAGAGTAAAGACACTGAAAGTCAAAAGACAAGGAAGAAATCTTGAAAATAGCAAGAGAAAAACAACTCATTGCTTAAAAATGAATACCAAGAAGATTAATAGCTGACTCCTCAGCAAAAACAATAGAGGCCAGAAGACAATGAGATAATCAAACTGCCTAGAGAAAAAGCCTTTCAACCAAGAATCCTACATCCAGCAAAATCATCTTATGAAAATAATATTGGTGAAATATTTCCCCAAATAAACAAAGTGAGAGAATTTGTGCTAGCAGATCTGCCTTACAAGAAATACTAGAAGAAGTTCTTCAGGCTGAAGGCAAGTGACTCCAGACAGTAGTTCAAATCCACACAAAAAAACAAAAGAGCATTAGAGAGGGTATTTATATAATTAAAAAAGACAGTGTAAATGAGTATTTTTTTCTCCTGCCCTTAACTGATTAAGAAGCAATTTCATAAAATAATGTAATGGATTGTTGTGCCTATAATATATAGAAATTAATATGTGTGAAATACATTTGCCAATAACAGCAAAAAGGAGTTGCATAGGAGCAAAGCTATATTGAGATAAGGAGATGGTTACAGATGATAAATTAATAATTATAACAATGTATTGTTGGATGTGTAACATTAATTGATGTAATATATATATAAAACAAAATACCACAAAGAGGGGGAGAAGGGAATACAGCTATGTAGGAGTAACACTTCTATATAGCATTGGAACTAGCTAGTATAAATCTGAAGCTGCTTCTGATAAGTTAAGATGTACATGGTTGGGGCCGGCCTGGTGGCGCAGCGGTTAAGTTCACACATTCCGATTCTCAGCAGCCTGGGGTTCGCTGGTTCAAATCCCGGGTATGGACATGGCACTGCTTGGCACGCCATGCTGTGGTAGGTGTCCCACATATAAAGTAGAGGAAGATGGGCACAGATGTTAGCTCAGGGCCAGGCTTCCTCAGCAAAAAAGAGGAGGACTGGCAGTAGTTAGCTCAGGGCTAATCTTCCTGAAAAAAAAAAGATGTACATGGTAAGCCCTAGAGCAACCACTTTAAAGATTGGTGCCTGAGCTAACAACTGTTGCCAATCTTCTTTTTTTCTTCTTTTTGTTCTTTCTTTTTCTCCCCAAACCCTGCCCAGTACATAGTTGTATGTTTCAGTTGTGGGTCCTTCTAGTTGTGGCATGTGGGACACCACCTCAACGTGGCCCGATGAGTGGTGCCATGTGTGCACCCAGGATCCAAACAAGTGAAACCCCAGAGCAACCACTAAAACAATAACTCAATAGTGAAAGATCATTAAAGAAATTAAGATGCCACATTAGAAAATATTCACTTGAGTCTGGCCCAGTGGTGTAGTGGTTAAGTTCAGCACACTCTGCTTTGGCAGCCTGGTTCACAGGTTGGGATCCTAGGTGCAGACCTACACCACTTGTCAGCCATGCTGTGGCAGCGACCCACATACAAAATAGAGGAAGATCGACACAGATGTTAGCTCAGGGTGAATCTTCCTCAGCAAAAAGAAAAAGGAAATATTCACTGAATGCAAAAGAAAGCAGTAAAGGAGAAATAGAGGAACAGAAAAGACCTGAGAGATACAGAAAACAAAAGTAAATGGCAAATGCAAATCCAGCTATGTCAATAATAACACTAACTGAAAATGTATTAAATAATCCAATCTAAAGGAAAACTTAGACTGGGTTTAAAAAAAAAAATCTATGATCAAGTGCACATGGAACATTCTCCGGGATATACCATGTGCTAGGCCATAAAACAAAGCTCAATAAATTCAAAGGGATAGAAACAATATAAAGTATGTTCTCTGACCACAATGCAATGAAATTAGAAGTTGATAACAGGTAAAATTGGTAAAACTCACAAATATGCAGATGTTAAACAACATACAGGGGCTGGCCCCGTGGCCGAGTGGTTAAGTTCACGTGCTCTGCTGCAGGCGGCCCAGTGTTTTGTTGGTTCGAATCCTGGGCGCGGACATGGCACTGCTCATCAAACCACGCTAAGGCAGCATCCCACATGCCACAACTAGAAGGACCCACAATAAAGAATATACAACTATGTACAAGGGGGCTTTGGGGAGAAAAAGGAAAAAAATAAAATCTTTAAAAAAAAAAAATACAGCTAAGTAACCAGTGGGTCAAAGAAGAAATCAAAAGGAAAATCTGAAAATACTTTGAGATGAGTGAAAATCATGCACAACATGTCAAGACTTGTGGAATGCAACTAAAGCGTTGCTTAGAGGGAAATTTTTAACTATAAATGCCTATATTAAGCAAAAGGAAAGACCTCAAATTGGTAACCTAACCTTCCACCTTAAGACACTGGAAAGCACTGGCCCAGTGGTGCAGTGCTTAAGTGTGCACATTCCAGTTTGGTGGCCTGGAGTTTGCTGGTTTGGATCCCAGGTATAGACATGGCACCACTTGTCAAGCCATGCTGTGGCAGGCAGCCCCCATGTAAAGTGGAAGAAGATGGGCACAGATGTTAGCTCAGCGCCGATCTTCTTCTTCTTCAAAAAAAAAGGACACTGGAAAAAGAAGAGAAAACTGAACCTAAAACAGCCAGAAGGAAGGAAATAATAAATAATAAAGTGGAAATTAATGAAACCTAGGAGAAAAACAAGAGAAGATCGATTAAACCAAAAGCTAATTGTTTGAAAAGGTGAGCAAAATTGCAAATCTTTGGGTATATTAACCAAGAAAAAAAGAAGACTCAGGGGCTGGCCTGTGGGATAGCAGTTGGGTTTGCGCACTCCATTTCAATGGCCCAGGGTTCACCAGTTCAGATCCCAGGTGCAGACCTAGGCACCACTTATCAAGCCATGCTGTGGTGGCCCCTCACATATAAGGTGGAGGAAGATGGGCCCAGATGTTAGCTCAGGGCCAATCTTCCTCAAAAAAAAAAATTAAAAAAAAAAAGAAGACTCAGATTACCATGATCAGAAATGAAAGAGGGAACATTACTACTAACCCTACAGAAATAAAAAGGATTATAAAGGAACACTATGAATAATTGTACACCAAAAAATTAGATAACCTAGGTGAAATGGACAAATCCTTAGAAAGATAGAGGCTATTGAAACTGACTCAAGAAGAAATAGATAATATGAGTAGACCTATAAAAAGTGAAGAGATTAAATTAGTAATAAAAAATATACCCACACACACAAAAAAAAAGCCCAGGCTGAGATAGCTTCACTTGTAAATTCTACCAAACATTTAAGGAAGCATTAAATCTAGTTCCTCACAAATTCTTTCAAAAACAGAAGAGAAGTGTATTTGTTTGCTAGGGCTGCCATAACAAAATACCACAGACTAGGCGGCTTAAACCACAGGAATTTATTTCTCACAGTTCTGGAGGCTGAAAGTCCAAAATCAAGGCATCAGTAGGTTTGGTTTCTTCTGAGGCCTGTCTCCTTGGCTTTCAGATAACAAGATTCTCGCTGTGTCTTTCCATGGCCTTTCCTCTGTATGCACACATCCTTGGTGTCTTTCTGTGTGTCCAAATGTTCTCATCTAATAAGGACACC